TGAGTCATAGCGCTTTATGTGTCGGTATAAACAAGGTAACAGAGAAATAATGAAAAACCACGTCAGCTTTCATGGCACTGAGTTTCGGTACATAAAATTTACAAGAAAATCTTCAGAGTTCGATCGCTTTCAAGGAGGAAATTATTTCAGCATTATAATATGCATCGAGACTATTTTTAGTGAAATGCTTGCTAAAATTTCTCAGTAGATTTTGCTATATTTAGTTTGGTTCCTGTGTGTACCAGAATTTTTAAAGGCCGGTCCAATGGAGCGTTTCACTACGCTGCATTACAAAATTCTATATCGCAAAATGTTAAAAAATTCTGCTCGATCAAAATTCTCTATTTTTTTAATTCTGCTTTTTCTAATTCTTATTTTTGAAAATTCTACTTTTCCACTTTCGTCTTTCAAAATTCTGCTTTTACGAGTTTAAGGGAAGACCCCTATTATATATTTTTAGAAGCTGTCAAAATTTTACCTGGTCCCATGAGCTAGATAAAACTCTGACGTTTGTATTCACCACGAGAAATGTTAAATTTTTGGTTTGTTCCGTCAAAATTGCATCTTTTTTTATCAATTAGCACAGGCCGTTTGTCTTAAATTGACATTTAGGAAATACGTTCTAAGCGACCTAAAAATCTGTTATACTTAGCGAAAAGTATACAAATTCTTACAGCGTGTTGTTACACTTATCAAAATAAACTTTTATTTTCAATATAAGCAAACAATTTGTTTTAGTAAATTAGAATATTTTGAGAATTGCATCTCTTCAAAAAAACTGTGTGACTTAAGTCATTTCTTTTTTTTTAATAGTTCTTATAAGCTGCACAGTGTACACAGTGTACCAAGTAATGACATTTAATTTTTTTCATATCCATATTTGACAATTGCTTGAGTATGTTAGTTAAAATTTTGAAATTTGTTGTCACTTTCTTTAATATTTTTGGTAGTTTGAATTTTAATTTTTTTTTGGAATCGTGTACAGAGGAAAATATTAACAAAAAAGAAATATAGAAAGCGAAAAAACCAATAATGCCGCATACGTGTTTTTTATGCAAGAGTGCGAAGTGCGGTGACTCCGTGTTCATCGCACCGAAGGACGAATATGTAAAAAAAAGAGTGGGAGCTAGCTTTCCACATGTCTTTGTCACAAACAGCACGTATTTGTGAGAATCACTTAATTAAATTTTATTTAATTAAGTAATAGGAATTTATCTTTGTGATTAAAATCAATTTTGATTACAGAACGAAAAATTCGTATTTTTTTTAACATGTGTTATCTGAGGGTTAATTGAAATAAACAACTTACACAAACACATCGGCTGAATTTCTTTATTCATTCTGAACGTTTGGAATAAACTTTTTTGTTTACTCATTCTTTAGAACGTTCCTGATGATATGTTAACGTATATTTCAAAAGCATACTGTTTATTCCGACTGTGAAATGGGATTATCCGGAATGTATAAAGAAACGCAGCCATCAGTTCCAGTATGAATTGTCAAATATGGATATTGACATTACTTGGCACACTGTCTACACTGTGATAAGCTGCCTCTTTGTTTTACTTGTTTTCCTTTCTGGAAATTTGAGTTTTCGCAAAAATAAGTTCTTGTAAATTAAATACAAGATTATAAAACTGGGAATCACTTCATCCAACAACTAATTTTAGCCGGAGATAACACCCTTCGCTACTGTTTTACGTTCTAGAAAAGGTTTTTGTTTCCGATGCATGCTATCATGCACTGTCCAAAACTCAGGAGAATATTTCGTATTATAATTATTTCCTGTAATAAAAGTTTTGTCAAACTTATTCAAAATACTGAAAATCAAAATCAAGGTACATTGAACAGGTAGTATCAGTAGAGCAGCTGATTTGATTTATTTTCAAATTATTTGGTCTCGAAAATGTCAAATATTTTTAATTTTTTCTCACAAAAATTCTGAATTGTTAAAATCCATTTGCATGTGAAACCTTTTTCCATACAAAACAAGCGATTGAATAGCAGCTTTTGGAACGTTCGCCCAACTCGGCAGCACGACCGCTGATTACTGGGCCTTGCAAAGGATGGATCAATGCTTCGAGAAGCAAACAAATTTACTAGGAAAGAAAGTTGCATCAATTTTTATTTTTTCCAATTTCAATTTTTTATTTTTTATAATTTTTTGTATTTCACATGGCACGCTTTGATTTAGAAGAAAAAATTCAGAACAGTTTTTGACACTTTCGATACCAGAAGCAACAACAAAATACACGCAAATGTTGTTTTTGCTCTACTGATACTACCTGTTTAATGTGTCTTGATCAAAATTATTTATTGAGATATAATGTAAACAATGTTAAATAGGACATGTCATTACTTTGAAAAAGTGCGCACTTTTCAAAGTAATGACATGCCCCCTTTAACATTGTTTACATTATATTTTAAAACAGAGTTTTGTAGTTCAGCATTTTGAAAAGCAGAAGTTTGTTAAGCAGATTTTCGTGTTCCGAATTCTGTAGTACCAGAATTTCGATACCAACCCCCGGTACACATAGAACTTTGGCGTGGGCTTTGGCGTTGGCGTTGGCGTTGGCGTTGGTCTGCCAGAACGCGCGTTAAAAGTATGCTTGCTACTATGAAAGCTTGGCAGCGAATGCTTTGAGCACGAAATTAACATACTAACAACAGATAAATTAATATTTCATATCAATAATTGCATGAAAAGCGATATTTCCTGCCCACATTTGCAACAATGCAAAGAGATGCCCATCATGTGCGTTAACTGTGGCGTTGGCGTTGCCGTTAATCTTAACAACCAAATCGACTGAGCAACAATTGGCATTATTTTGTGTGTGTAAATAGTAGTGTTCATGGAATTTTGATATCTAATAATTCACAGTCTCACTCCTTCCTCACAAAGCAATGGAACAAGTGTATATTTCTCTTGAAAATATGGGTTGCAAAAAACTTTAGAAACCCGTAAGCTCTTAAACATTTCTTGCGCTTTTTTATATCGGGTTTTAACAGTTCTTGATATCTGCGTACCACGCTTAAAACTTCAAAATGTGTTCCTACTGTTAACGATTATCCTTGGGTTCTCAACGGTTTCCCAATTTCCCTGCGAGGAATATTCCGATGTTATTCGTCGAACTAAACAAATGTTCACTAACAATGACGTAAAAACAGATTTGGTTTTTATTAACTCTAACTTAAATTAAATTTCAGCTGGGAAACAAAGATTGCAAACCAAAGGTTTGCCTCTATGGGAAGCCATTAGTGTTATTGAAAAGATTTAAAAAAATCACAATGGAACAAGAAATGGAAGGAAAGCTAAATTACTTAAATCTGACGACTTAAATAAATAAAAGCACCAGTAGTCTGCAATACGAAATTTTTAGGGAGTCGGAGATACAATAATACATAATATTTCGAACCATCCTCATCAGCATAAAGCCGCCTATAGAATCGAAAGAATACCACTAACAAAAAAGGATACAAAACAGAACGGAACGCAATATATGCCATAGCGGCTAATAACGGATAAAAGAGAGATCTGGTAGAGGAAATCCGAGGGGAGCACAAAAAAAAAAAGCCAAACAATTACGAAAATTGGGCGGTATTAACCTATACTGGAAAGTCAACGTACAAACGAGCAAAGCTGTTCTAGAAACACAACCTTCGTACATCATTAAGAACAAATAACAACGTTGAACAGATACTATGGAACACCACAAATCAAGTAGACCCATTGGATAAACAAGGAGTGTATAAACTAACTTACAAATGCCAGCATAGTTATACCTATACCTGTACCTAGAGTCAAACAGGACGTAAAATAAAAACAAGATTCCCCGAACATATAAGATACTATAACAAAAAGACACAGAAACCGAGCGCAATACCAGAGACAAATTTCGCTAACCCCATGTATAACAAGAAATGTTCACCAACACAAATAAGAAAGGCAGCGAAACTACTGTATGTACAACATAAAGGCCAACGACTAAACGTACTAGAAATTATGGAAATATACAAACTAAAAACCTTCGACGCCAAAATAATAAACGAACAAACAAATACCGCATCGGATGTTATATTCGAACCCTTAAAATTGATTTACGAAAAAAAGAAAAATGACAACAAAACAACAGGCATGGACACTCCGAAAACACCAAGAAGTACCATCAGGATAAAAATCACCGTAGGAAAAAACCTACTCCAAAAAAAAGGACACCATGGAATATCTAATAATTAATCATCGACGAAAATCACATAATCTAAAATCAATTAAGGACAAAACCTTGAACCAGACAGAACGAAAAATGACACTGAAGATGGCACAACGCCGAAACCGGTTTGTCTGCAAGCCAAACTTGACAAGGAATGACGGAAATTCGTTCCAAAATAAATCAGATTAAAAATAATTTATCTCAATAGCTCTTAAAAAATATTGTCGGTGTTCACACCTGTCTAGTTATCAGGTTATCTGGTTATGATTATATTTTTAATTTAGTCTACTACAATAAAATACATTGTAGAATAATAATTTTTAACCATATAACCTGTGTAGTCCAAAAAAAAAGCAGTTAAAATTTTTGAAAAAAAAAACTTATATTTAGAACCGCCTCAGGGCCCATAAAGTTTTCCATTCTATATATTTTATATGGTTTTATGGGAAAAACAATTTTTCATAGAAATGGTAAAGAATTCTTGAAAATCAATATTTTTCGATCGAAATACTCGAAAATACTCAGGTGTTTATTTAACCCTTTTTAGTATTAACTATGTTTTATAGGTCCCCAAAAATATAATAGGGAGGCCCATAAAAAATCGTTGGTATTAAGAAATGGTAAAATAAACCATTGGGTATTATTTCTGAAATTGAGTCCTGTTTTGAGAGCTAATGCCAATCGTTACACAAAAATAGCATCGAAAAGTTTAAGGAGAGTTGAAATGATTGCGAATTATGGAATTTATTATCAAGCTCTGCAAAATCAGGCATGGACCCTTTGACTTACCGTTTAATTATTTTTGATATCACTGGATCCTCAGTACATGGATCCGCATTATTGGCAGTCGATATGAAGATATTGGATTGTTTCGATTGTTTTGTAAGTTTTTGTTGCCACTGCTGCCACTCCTGGTGTTGTTTTTGTCGATTGCATCTGTCATCCAGATTGCGTTTACTTCGATTTAAGGTTGCTGACGTATTGCTGGCGGGCGGTACGTCGCTATCATGCAGGGAAGGATTCAAAACTGTTTTATTTTGTGTGAGTTGGCGTTTGGTTCGTTTCGTTGCCTCCTCATTAGAACTGGGTAATTCATTATTGCCGTTTTCATCAGGAAAAAATCGTCCAGTTTGATTGCTGATAATGTCGTTATTTATCGTTCTATAACTATTTTTTGTCCTTGTTTTGCTACTTCGGTTGTCGGTTTTAATGCTGTTACGATTATTGTTATTATTTTCGCTTGGGGATACATAAATGTCGCGTTCCTCAGCAAAATACGGTACCAAAGTACTACAAACCCAACGTCGGTAAGCCTCCTAAGAATAAAAAAAAAAACATTAATAAAACTTTCCCATAATTCAAGCGGGTATTAAATTACAAAACATGAATTTATACTATAATTTCTATAATTATTTTCTGTAAGCGTTTTGCAAATTACTGAAAAGCTTTTGCATGTACATATACACTTGCGGTCAGCTGATTAAGTTTAGTGACAGGCTGACTTCATAAACGCAGTTTGCAAAGTAACACTGCCGACAGATGAGTTTGCATGGCAAAGCAATGCATCACGGCAACACTGATTTATCAAAAATGAAATGACATTTTAAAGTTTAAATTTTAAAATTTAAACGTTATGAACGCAAAATTATTTTGTCGTATGTTGTATTTAATTAAATTATGTATGTATTGTGAAATTTATCTTAAGCAATCCTGCGCTTTTGTTTTGAAAACCGCCAAACGTAAAGCATCTCAAATAAAATCAATGCACAAATTCGACAACTGTTGCACATTGAAAGTAGTTGCCATGCAATAATGGACTCACGGCTTTGTCGAAAATAAGGCAATGGCGTTTATGAACTCTATGCATTCCAGTGTCGCTTTGCAAACTGCTTTTATGAAGTCAGCCACATTTGGACCAGTTTTGGCCTATTTTTTCCTTTTTTATTTAATTTATATATCTTTGTACATATAAAATTCCAGCACATTTTAAACTTCGTAGAAGAACTATAATAGTTTAAAAAACTTTAACGATTATTTACACCCAAAATTTTTAAACTTTATATTCAGAAGATTTAGAAAACTTCTTGGCATGGTTGTAGCCAAAATGAAATTTTTCTTTTTCAAAACCAATAATTATTACTAAAAAATTGTCCATTATAGCTTAAAACTATTGTAACCAATAGAGGTTTGTTGTACATACACACATTAAAAGAAGTTCAAAAAAGTTGATATAAAACCATTCGTCGATTTAAATAATTAACTTTTTACTGACCATATTTCTTCTTCTTCTTATTTGGCGCTGTAACCGCCTAAGCGATTTTGGCCGAGTTCAACAAAGGACTCCAGTTGTTTCTCTTCTGTGCCAATTGACGCCAATTGGAAATGCCTTGGTCTTTCCAACGCAGTGGGGGCCTCCCTCTTCGTCTGCTATCACCAATGGGTTCCGAGTTGAATACTTTCAGAGCTGGACAGTCGGAGTCAATTCGAAGGACATGGCCAAGCCAGCGGAGCCGCTTTATTTTAATTCGCTGAAATATGTCCATGTCGTTGTAAAGCTCATACATATATGTATCATATATCTGCGGTACTCGCCATCGCCAACGCGTAAAGGCAGGTATATATTCCGCAAAATCTTTCTCTCGAATACTCCAAGAGCCGCCTCATCGGATGTTGTCATTGTCCATGCTTCGGTGCCATATACCAACACGCGCATGATAAGTGGTTATTAGAGTGTGGTTTTCGTACGTCGAGAGAGGACTTTAAATACTCCTGAATTGCCTACTCAGTCCGAAGTAGCACTTGTTGGCAAGAGTGAGTCTGTGTTGGATTTCCATGCTGACATTACTATCGGTGTTAATTCTGGTTCCCAAGTAAACGAAATTCTCTACTTTCTCGAAATTATAACTGTCAACAGTGACGTGGGTGCCAAGGCGCGATTGCGTTGACTGGTTGTGTGATGACAGCAGATACTTCGTCTTGTCTTCGTTGACCGCCAGACCCATTCGCTTTGCTTCCTTATCCAACTTGGAAAAGGCAGAACAGACTTCGCGGTTCTTGTTACTGATGAAGTCGATGTCATCGGCATACGCCAGCATTTGCATGCTCTTGTAGAAAATTGTTCCTGAGCGGTTCAGTTCTGCAGCTCTTATTATCTTCTCCAACATCAGATTAAAGAAATCCCAAGAAAGGGAGTCACCCTGTCTGAAACCCCGTTTGGTAGGAAACGGCTCGAAGAGGTTTCTCACAATTCTGACGGAGCTGGTATTGCTCAACGTCATTTTACACAGCCGAATCAGTTTCGAGGGGATGCCAAATTCAGACAGCGCGGAGTAGGTTAGGTTAGGTTAGGTTATCTCGGCTGCCCTAATCCTTCAGGAAAAGGACACTCTTAGGCCACCATGGGCCCGTTGTGATGCCATATAAGAAACTCCATATATGTCCCTCCTCTTACTCTAGTAATGGAACCACTACGTAGCTCTGATGAAGCGCACAAAGTCATAGACAATGGCTGAATCCAGTTCGGCCAGACATTCAAAAGAATAATGGAGGAACGAGCATCGGCGAGCTCTCGCCAAAGCAGGATAGTGCCATAAGTAGTGCTCCACGCTTTCGAGTTCGTCCTCATTGCGGCAGCTATGACAGTAGTCGTTTGACTGTAAACACATTCTGGTGGTGTGGATTTCCATCAGGCAATGCAAATATACAACATTAGGGGCGTAACACGTTGCCAGTTCATTAAGAGTACGTCTACATTCCATAACAATCTTCGACGTAGATTTGTCACTATTAAGTGTTTTAATAGCCGCTTGGCTGTCAGAAAATATTGTTAACGCCTTCGGATTAATTAGAGAATCGATCAGCCAACTTGCAGCTTCATTTATTGCTATTAGTCCAGCCTGAAAAACGCTGCATAGATCTGGCAGACGAAAACTGGGACTAAGTGAGAGTTCTTGCGAGTAAACCCCACTTCCTACCTTCAGATCAAACTTGGAGCCATCAGTGTAGAGCTGTTGAGTCAGAATACGAGACCGGGACCATATCCTTTCCTTATTCTTCCCTTGAGGGGACCCTTATCTGGAAATGATTATTTAGTCCCGAAGGCGGGACTGTGCAATCCAGGCGCCTAAAGTCCTCTGGAAGATCTTCCAAAATTCTAGAGTGCCCAAACCTCGTGTCACTCCATTTGATTAGTGCATTTAATATAATAGCATTACAGCTTGCCTATAGTTTACCATATAGGTCCACAGGTAACAAGTGAAGCAAGACCTCTAGGGCTTTAGTCGGCTTCGATGGTAACGGTCTCGTGATCATCATGCACGCCACCCTTTGGAACGCTGTTAATTTGTTTCTTATTGTAGATTTATCTACAAACGGCCACCAAACCGTTATGCAGTAAAATGGAATGGGCAATGTCAGGCTTCAATCCCCATTTTTTCCCTATCGCCGATTTACAGGCATACATAGCAGTTATAGCTTTCTTGCAGCGCTCTTCTATATTGCGCCGCCAAGTTAACTTTCTGTCAAGAATAACGCCTTCGAGAAAGTCAGTGCGATACCGTTCAAAGAAGGAGGTTGTAGCCGGAAAGCTTTCGTTTTCTTTGAAAACAGAACCATGGCCGTTTTTGCCGGATTGACACTAAGTCCTACTTCTTTGGACCAGTTATCCACGATGCGTAAGGCGCCTTGAACTAAGTCACATAGAACTTGGGGGGTGCTTACCAATTGCCGCCAGGGCAAGATCATCCGCGTAAGAAATGACTTGGCAACCTGTACCTTGCAACCGTGACAGCAGGGTATCCACCGTTAGATTCCAAAGAAGTGGGGAGAGAACACCGTCTTGTGGGGTTCCCCGTCTTGCATATCTTGTTACATATACCTCCCCCATCTCCGAATAAATAGCTCTACTGCCTAAGAGGCGATGAACAAAGTCGACCATAAGGTGATCCAGCCCAAGGCGAGTTAGGGCTTGAAGAACCGCTCCCGGGAGAACATTATTGAAGACACCCTCGATATCTAGGGACACGCCTAGTGCAAATTCCTTAAAAGCGAGAGCCTTTTCAATGGTGCTGACAATACTATGCAAAGCTGTATCCACAAATCTACCTTTCCAGTAGGCGTGTTGACAGCTAGCGAGATTATTTACAACAATTTCCTGCCGGATCTGAGAGTGTAGAAGTCTTTCCAGAGCCTTGAGAAGGAAAGAAGTAAGGCCTATCGGTCGAAAGTCACTTGGTTTAACGTGGGAGGGTCTACATCCCTATGCAAAGCTGTATCCACAGACCTACCTTTCCAGTAGGCGTGTTGACAGCTAGCGAGATTATTAGAAGTCTTTCCAGAACTTTGAGAAAGAAATAAGTAAGGCCTATCGGTCGAAAGTCACTTGGTTTAAAGAGGGAGGGTCGTGGGAATAAACACAACTTTTGCCAGGGTCCAGCCCTTGGGTATGAAACTAAGTTTAATACAACCCTTATAGATTAAGACAAGTATCGGACATAAAACGTCAGATGCTGACTGAAGTTGGGCAGGGCGAATACCATCCATGCCTGANGTAAGGCGCCTTGAACTAAGTCACATAGAACTTGGGGGGTGCTTACCAATTGCCGCCAGGGCAAGATCATCCGCGTAAGAAATGACTTGGCAACCTGTACCTTGCAACCGTGACAGCAGGGTATCCACCGTTAGATTCCAAAGAAGTGGGGAGAGAACACCGTCTTGTGGGGTTCCCCGTCTTGCATATCTTGTTACATATACCTCCCCCATCTCCGAATAAATAGCTCTACTGCCTAAGAGGCGATGAACAAAGTCGACCATAAGGTGATCCAGCCCAAGGCGAGTTAGGGCTTGAAGAACCGCTCCCGGGAGAACATTATTGAAGACACCCTCGATATCTAGGGACACGCCTAGTGCAAATTCCTTAAAAGCGAGAGCCTTTTCAATGGTGCTGACAATACTATGCAAAGCTGTATCCACAAATCTACCTTTCCAGTAGGCGTGTTGACAGCTAGCGAGATTATTTACAACAATTTCCTGCCGGATCTGAGAGTGTAGAAGTCTTTCCAGAGCCTTGAGAAGGAAAGAAGTAAGGCCTATCGGTCGAAAGTCACTTGGTTTAACGTGGGAGGGTCTACATCCCTATGCAAAGCTGTATCCACAGACCTACCTTTCCAGTAGGCGTGTTGACAGCTAGCGAGATTATTAGAAGTCTTTCCAGAACTTTGAGAAAGAAATAAGTAAGGCCTATCGGTCGAAAGTCACTTGGTTTAAAGAGGGAGGGTCGTGGGAATAAACACAACTTTTGCCAGGGTCCAGCCCTTGG